TCTGCTCATTTTTAGTTTAAAGTGAATGACACAAATTAATTTTGGCATATTACATAAACATTGAATTTCTTGGATGAAACAAATATAGCAACTTATTACTCTTTTGTTTCACTTCTATACCAATGTTGCAATATTGGGTAAAAGTATTAGTGCCTGTAATGGTCAATTTCATCAATTTATAATTGATAAATACAATTACAAAGGAGATTATAAGACATTACCCTGGATTGTGTGTGATAGATTGCATTTACAGAGACTGAATAGACTAATTCCTAAAGGAATCAAAACATGGCAGTATTATTGAGAGGTAGGTTAAAAGTACAAGGTTGGATGCATCAGGAGAAGCAAGGTCACTGAGGCAAGACTTGAAGGTGACATCTTGTTCTGTGGCTTTCCATATTGTTTGTCTCTGACTCTTGTCTGACACGATGTGAACTACCCTGCTCCATCATGCCCTTCACACAGTGATGGAGTAGCTCCTCTGTATTCAGGAGTTACAATTAACCCTTCCTCATTTAGGTTATTATATCAAGTCTTTTGAAATAGCAATGATAAAAGCAGTCAACACAGTGTTTGTGGTCTTGAAGAATATTCTACTTTTCTAGATGGAGTGTTGGTGCAGTTAATGTCAATTTGATGCGATCTATACTCACTGAGAAGACAGGCCTCTGGGAATGTCTGCAGGGCACCTAGATTAGGTTAATTAAGGTAGGAACACCCCAAGTGTGAGTGGTACCATTTGTTAGGCTGGAGTTCTTGACTTCAAAAGAAGAGCTAGCAGAGCACAAGCATCCATCGCTCCCTGCACCCTTCTCTGGATGCTTGATGACCAGCTACATCATGTTCCCGCAGCCATTACTTCCATCACATGATGAACTGTGAGCCAAAATTAAATCTTTCTCCTTTAGTTGCTTTTATGAGGTATTTTGTCACAGCCACAGGACAAGTCACTAATACAGGTGTCCTTATCCTGCTTTAGCAATAGTGTCAAGATCTCTGAAATGAGCTGAAACAGGAACCATCACGTTCCTCTGTTTTCTATAATAGTTTTGTGCAGCGCAATTTCCTTGACCTGGCAAATGTTTTGTTCTCTAGTGAAGCCATTTTGGCTTCAGGCTCTTTGTGTGGTAAATTGCTAGATTAATTCAATTTCTTCCATTGATAGAAGAAATTTAAATATTTCTGTTTTTCCTCAATCAATTTTAGAATATGTCTTTCTAGGAATTTCTGTCTTCCATATGCATTGTCAGTTCTATTGGCATACGTCACACAAATTATTTTCTAAAAAGTCTTTTAATATTTTTATCATATGTGTTAGTGCTTAGTCTTTCAGTAGTTTATATTTGATAGGTCTTCACAGATATTTTTTAAAATATCTTTTCAAATAATCAACTGTTATATGTATTTTTTTCCTATTTTCCTTTTTCTATTCAATTTCTTTTTTTTCTGGGTCTATATTTTATTTTACAATATAATTTAATTCTACATATCAGCCACGGATTCCCTTGTTCTCCCCCCTCCTGTCCCCCTCTCCTTCCCCCCAGCCCAGCCCCCATTCCCATCTCCTCCAGGGCCAAGACTCCCCCAAGGATTGAGATCAACCTGGCAGACTCAGTCCAGGCAGGTCCAGTCCCCTCCTCCCAGGCCTAGCCAAGCGTCCCTGCATAAGCCCCAGGTTTCAAACAACCAACTCATGCAATGAGCACAGGACCCGGTCCCACTGCCTGGATGCCTCCCAAACAGATCAAGCCAATCAACTGTCTCACCCATTCAGAGGGCCTGATCCAGTTGGTGACCCCTCAGCCATTGGTTCATAGTTCATGTGTTTCCATTCGTTTGGCTATTTGTCCCTGTGCTTTATCCAACCTTGGTCTCAACAATTCTCGCTCATATAAACCCTCCTCTCTCTCGCCAATTGGACTCCCGGAGCTCCATCCGGGGCCTAGTCGTGGATCTCTGCATCCAGTTCCCTCAGTCATTGGATGGGGTTTCTAGCCACGACAATTAGGGTGTTTGGCCATCCCATCACCAGAGTAGGTCAGTTCGGGCTGTCTCTCGACCATTGTCAGCAGTCTATTGTGGGGGCATCTTTGTGGATTTCTGTGGGCCTCTCTAGCACTTTGCTTCTTCCTTCTATTCAATTTCTTTTAATCATTTTCTCTCAACATATTCTTGGTTTCAATCACTATTTACTTTTCAAAGATGAATGCTGAGATCACTAATTTTATGCTTTTTTATTAAAGATTTTTACAATAAAGCTAGAAATTTCTTCCTAAGCATTATTACTTTAGTTTTTGCCTATAAATTTATACTATTTATAGATCAAAATGTGTCTAATTTCTTCAAGATTTTGTCCTTATGAGTTATTTATACATGTGCAACTTCAATTTTAAATTGTTATATGGCATGACAAGTCGTTTATCTTTCTGAACATTCCTTCTGGAAGGCAAAATTATATACTCTACCTTTATTTGGCACAATATTCTATAAGTGTTAATTAACTCAAAGTACTTGGTTGTGGTGTTCAAATTCCTGTATCCCTATTTATTTTCTGTTCTCTATACTGAGCATATGTTTAGCATTGGAAATTTCCCATCATATGCCTGGGAACTTTGCTCTTGGCTGTATGTTGTAGTTCCTGGATATATATTTTAATTCTCTCTCTCTCTCTCTCTCTCTCTCTCTCTCTCTCTCTCTCTCTCTCTCTCTCTCTCTCTCTCTCCTCTCCCTCTCCCTCTCCCCCTCCCCCTCCCCCTCCCCCTCCCCCTCCCCCTCTCCCTCTCCCTCTCCCTCTCCCTCTCTCCTCCTCTCCCTCTCTCCTTTCCTCTCTCTTTCTGGTACTGGGGATTAAACGTAAGGACTTGTGTGCATACCAAGCAAGAACTCTACATGAGTTATATTTATACCAGTGAATTATGTTGTCTTGGTTCGATCATTTTGATATGAGATATTGCTATGGGATAATCTCTTTTTTTGGTCCTGGTCTTCACCTCAAATTCTACTTTGTCAATTATTACTTTAGCAATAGAGGCTTCTTTATGTTTTGTATTTAAAACTTGTGTCTGCATGCTTCTTTTGGTTTGTTTGCTTTTAACATATACCCTTTTATATCCAGCCTGATAGTATTTGCTTTTCAATTGCAATGCCAAGTCCACTTGTTTAGTGTAATTATTGACATTTGGGCCGGAGCCCCTACCGTGACGTTTTGTTTTCCCTTTTTGTAATCTATTCTTTGTAGTTTTTATATCCATTCATTTACTGTACAAGGTTGTACATTCATGCCATAGCGTAAGTGTGGAGAATGGAGGACACATTGCAGGAACTGTTTTTCCCTTTGTTATATGTAAGTTCTGGGGTTCAAACTCAGGTCATCAGGCTCTGGTGGCAAGCACCCTTACCTACTTATTCACCAGTCCCATTTTCTTTGCTTGTATTTGTAACTATTATCACTTTTCTATAGTTTTGGGAAGATAATTTTATTTCTGATTTTGATAAATTTACTAACTTTTGTCTATTTTGTACTATTTTTAATCATTCTTCAGAGACTGAAATACACATCTTCAACAACTGCTTCAAAATGTAGTAATTTTGGTAATGTGTGTCCATGTAGGTCTTAAATTCACTGTATTTTTATTGTCATATGCAATATCTCTACACATTCCAGGGGAGATGGTTTGTTATTTCATTGTCATTAAAAGCTTCTTGCCAATATTCTGCTATGACTAGACACTGTAAATAAATTACCCAGGCAGAAGAAAACCTAATGAGAAGCTCACTGTGCCAGCAGCCATCCTGTGGCTGGACAGTGTCTGGTTGAGAGCACAGAGCCTGCAGGTGTATGGCTTCAGGCATGTCCCCTCAGAGATAAGTGATTCTCAAGTCTATAGTCGTAACTTCAGATAACAGAGAAGGAGACAGAGCTCATTGGTGATGGAGTGGGAGGCTTGACACAATTCATTTGTTGTCTCAATCTTTTTTCTTTCATCATGTTTTTCTACTTTGTACTTTATGATTGAATAAGTGACTATCTTAGTGTTATGGTCATATGGTTAAGCTGTGCAAATATTAAATGTGTACATTAAGAATGGTTGTGATTTAATTTATATACAGAACTGTTGAAGCTGGACAATTTCATTAAAATTAGGATCTGCTGGATGTTTAAAGTTAGTATTCCATACATTCTTCACTAAAGCTCTGTGCAGGTTTTAGTGAGTAATGTTATGTAGGTGAAATGTAGAGTTCATTTCAGTCTCCTTCACAAATTACCCACATTCAATTTCCAGTTAGCATGCAGTGCCTTCCTAAACATTAAAAAAATATTTTAAACTTACTCCTTTCTCTTGTGATTAAAACCAAGCACCCACACTTTGATAAGTACGGGGAACTAGTGTGTAAGAACAACATTCAAGCTCTCTTGTCATCCAAGATTTATTGGGGTTTGGTATAAGCCTGAGGTGCTTAGCATGCTCCAATGCATGTGGCATGATGGAGCATTGGAAAAATCCAGTAGCGACCCAGGCAGCAGATACTGAGGCATGTCTATGATGGTAGGACAAAGAAGGGCCATGGAGAGTAAGCCAGAATAACAAAGAGGAAGGCCTAAGGGAAGTCAGATGAACATTATTTTAAGTTTGGGTTCAATATTCAGGAATGCAAATCCTTTTCCCTTCTGCTCTAAAGATTTGATTTGCTTTTTTAAAAGTTTGAGCTGCTTCATAGGAGGTTTATTGTTGCAACAGGCCAGAAGATCTATTCCATGTAGCTCCCAGTCTTACAACAAAATATCAGAAAAGATCTCAGTCAGTTGCACATATGAAAGGTACAAATGAGTAAGTAGATTTGCATGCATGAAGCTCAATGTAAATGCTGGAATGAACATGGATTCATTAGGATTAACAGAGCCAAAAACAGATAAAAAGTTTCAGTTCAATTGATAACTTTTCTTTACTTCCAAAGTACAAAGACTTGCAAATTTAGTAACATTTAAGTAGCAAACTTACATGATTTTGAGTCTGGTGATGGAGGAGAAATATTAGATACAGCAAGGTCGCTTTTTGATTTTTTAGGCTTCTTTGCATTCAACTGCCAAGGTTTATCATAGCTTCTGAAATCCCTTCTTGTTCCTTTTGGTTCTGTTAAAACAAATAAATAAAAGTAATAAGGATGAACAAAATCTTGGTCATGAAATGGAGCATCATATATTATATATATATTTAAACGTCTACTGAGCAGAGTTAAGTTCAGTAAAATATCGGATTTTATGGATTACTTCATTTTATGCTTCTGTACAAAAGTCGTATTAGGAAAATAGCCAGGATATCTTTCCTATCTAGTTGGTTGAGTAAATATGAGGGGCAGAAATTCACTCAGTAGTGTAGCAGACACACGATTTGATTGATACGAGAATTTCAGCAGTAAAGATTTGTCCTTTTGATGTTTTCTGTTTTGTTTTATTTTAGAATCCCAGAGTTTCATTTCAAGCTATCTGATGAAAGGGCAAGGAAAACTCTGCCTCTATTATCCGCTGACATACCTGAAACTAGAAAAAACACTCCACATTTAAGTTTGAATCACTAGAAAACTATCATTCTGGAAAGCACTGATGACACATATTTAATTAAAGAATAGAATTTTTAAGACACCAAGGAATATTATAATCTTACAGCTGTTAAATGTCAGAACCTGACTTTCCAATATAAGTAAAATAATTTTATGAAACAAAACAAAATCATAGGGAAGAGTTGCTGAGCAAGCTGTGATTAAAACACAATTGTACATAGAACTCTATTTAAAAGGAGGTTTTGTGATTTTTTTAAGTGCTGACAGAAAACTAAAATGCAATACCACATTAAATTTGTATTCTGTGCTGGAAAAGGAACACTGATAGTGCTGAAAATTGAATCGGGGGCATACAGAGCCCACTTCACTCAATAAAGCTCCAGAGCAGAGGCCACAAAATGAGAAGAGCAATGTCAAATGAAAGGGGGAAATGGTGTCTCTTAGAGGAAACTCAGTTTGCACAAAAATGATCTTCTTGAAGAATCATAGAAAATATCTCAGCTACAGTTTTGAACATCAAGTGTGTGTGTGTGTGTGTGCGTGTAATTATTGTACAAAAGGAATTGATTTTCATTGCAAAAATGAAACAAAAATAAGATCTTCCTTCACACTATTAAGCAATGCATAAGTGAGAACACTGAGTTGCTGGATGTATTGAAACCGAACAATAGGACAACTTCAGATATTCTGGAAAATATTTTGTCTCTGTCCTTGAGACATTCTGTAATTGATTAGAAGACCAAAATAACACAAAATCACAAGCATGGCTTAAGAGAAAATCATTAACCACCATCCAAATAACCATTCTTTGTTTCTATTAACATCCAATAACTGATTGTTCTCCTTCTCTTTCCACATCTTCCCCCTGAAATATTTTCCCCTCTTCTGTGGACCTTACACTTCACATAAACAAGCACTGCTCCATTTTCAAATCCTCACTTCATATCTTAATGTATATATCATCTTTTCACATAAAAATGTTTCTTTGCAGCTTCCTGTAATAGAGGGTTTCACCCCATCCCAATGTCACACACACACACACACACACACACACACACACACACACACACACGCTGTGAAGGCTCGAGGCTCCTAGTTTCCAGGTGCTTGTGTAACGGGAGGCCTCCACAAATGAAGTGCCCTTCTCCCTTGTGGGAAACACCACTCATCACACCTCACTATTAGCCTCTGCTTTCCCCACAGCAGTATTGCAGACATGGCTACAGTCTATCTTGTCCTTCTGACAACATGAGTGAAACACTGGTGACCTCTTTAAACTTCTATAAACTGCAGGCTTCAGACATTCTTGCTTCAGTTCTTCATACCTTCACTTCTCTGATGCTTTAGACACCCCAAACTCAGGCTCTGTGATGGGTCTTCTCATTCTCCAGAACAACTCTACCTTAGAAGACTTGATGTCAAATATCACCATCTCTTGGCATAGCTAGAACCCTGTGATTCTTGCACTACATCGATCTGTTATAGGTGTTTTTATCTCTGACTGGGTTTCTCTGGACAAGTCTGTTCTCAAACACCATCGTTATCTTCCATACCAGGCTTTGTGTTTAGTTGCTTGTACAACTTGTTCATCAATACCCCCAACTTTCCATAAATTTGTGTGCCACCTTCTCCTCTGGCTCTTCAAATTTTGAGGTTCTGCTGGAGAACACATTGCTCGTGGTTTCCAAAAGTTTTAATAATGACTAGTTCATGTCTTCAACTCAGTTTTGCCCCAGAGTTGTTTAAACAAACTTTAATTTTCTTTTTCATAATCTGTCTCTATTCTCTCCTGGTAAATTATCAAGATTACGGTCGCTTACTTTTCTTATCTAATCTCCAACTCTTTTTTTTTAACAAGGAATTTTACTTCTTAAGAAACAGCAAAATTTAAAGCACACAGAATAGTCTTACACTAATCATCTTCCAGAACATTCCTTACTTGACTTACAATTTAGCACATATTCTCCATTCTTTCATTCCTGTGGATTGTATGGTTTTTGCTTTGATACTGGATGAGTCCCATTTTGGAGTCTCCTGTTTTGACCCAGCCCAGAGATTCAGACTCACATTCAAATAATTGCTAGTATTGCTTACTAAGATGTTCCACAAAAACTCAAATTCACCAACAGGAATTCAGCCTCTATTTCTCATTGGAAATTTAGTCTCATGCTTCATCTTGACCTATTAAATGAGCATTTATACTATTACTTAAGTTAGTAAACCAGTAGCTATAATAATATACTCCCTTTCCTTTCTAAGAAAAGTCAACAAACTCTTGTGAGAATTAGAATTCTAAGAAACCTGGGATGATAACAAAGTAATGATTAATCATGACCTACATTATTTCCTCTTCTTGAATGAAGATGAGACCATTGATTTGCTTCTGTCAAATACAATATAGCAAAAGTGTTGAGATGATAATGTCACAATTACATTGTAATCACTACATCATGGAAATCCCATTTGGGCAGACTTCTTGAATTGGAGAAAATAACCTGTCACATGGTAAGAGTCATGTGGCAGTGAATGCTACTTGTATCTAGCAACTAAGAAGAAACATGGGCTGAAAGCCAGAAGGGAAATCAGGAACTCAGCATATGCTGTGGAGAGGTTATTTGCCAACAAGCCAAACGGTTTTGGAAACATGTTCTTCTCAAGCTCAGTGTCCAGATGAGGATGCAACCCAGCCAACAGTTTGATTGTCTTATGAATCTATACAGAGCTGACTAATCCAAACACAGGCTTCTGGACATGGACATTGAATGGTAAATTTTTATTGATAAATAATTCAGAGTTTAATATACAACTGCCCCCTTAAATGAAATTATTTATAAAATTTAGGCTCTCATGAACTTCTAGAGCTTCAAAGATGGCCATATGAGCTTTTACCACAAGGTGGGTACCATTTTAGCACCTAAAAAAAAGAAAACCTTTGCCAATCAACTCATCTAACTTATAAACCTAAGGAAGTGAGTCCAAAAATAAATAAATAAGGTAGATACAAGAATTCTCTGTTTTGTACAGCAAGATTCATGTTCTAGTTTCCTGTCTCATGAAGATAACTTTGGTGGAGATATCATCACTAGCAATATCCACTTTCTTCAGAGATTATTCATTTTCTGCCCTCTTTACTGTAGACTTGTGAGAACATCAGGAAGGTATTGATATGATAACACAGCAAGAGAAAGGCAAAATCCTTTCTTGAGATTCCACAGAGTATGAGGAGAAAAAAGGCATCATGGTACCATCCCAGGAAATCATCTAGAGTCAGTCCAATCCCATGGGAATTAGGCAAAGAGTTGGTGACTCATGAAACAGACAGGTCTTAGTTTGGGTTTCTATTGTAACACTAGAACAGCATGACCAGCAGGGAATTCAGAAGGAAAGGCTCCCTTTCATCTTACACTTCCAGTAGCACTCAATTACTGAGGGCAGGACAAGAACCCAGAGGTAGGAACTATAGCAGAAACCATGGAGGAATGCTGCTTATTGGCTTGATCTTCATGTTGCTCAACCTGTTTTCTTATAGAACCACAAACCGTCAGCCCTGGGGTAGCACTGCACACAGTGAGCTGGACCAATCAATCAGGAAAAAGCACCACAGGCCTGCCCATAGGCAAATCTTATGGGGGCATTTTCTCAAATGGTTCCCTTTTCTAAAATGCCTCTGTGTTGTGTCAAGTTGATGTAAACAGACTAACCCAAGGCATGGAAAGATTGGGATCTGAAAGCAAATTGCAAACCCAAAGACCAGAGTGTAGGAAAATTGAAGTCACATCTATCCCCAAATTAGTGTTTTCCCCGATTTAGTGGTGAAAGGAGGCTACTGGAGACTTGGAAGGCTGGTTTCCCAATGATCAGAGCTCCCCAGTGCTCAACTAGTTCTTAAGTTAAATTTACTACACAGGATAATATTAGTCATGGAAGAAATAAAGAGTAATCAGTTTTGAGAAAAGCAAAAGTAACCTTGTAGAGACTGTCTTATTACTTTCCTGAGCAGATAAGCTGTATTCTTCCAATCAAGTTGTTAATAAAAAGAAACACAAGTTCAGAATAATTACTTTGAATCCACACAGAATGAAACATTTTCATGCAAATCAGAATCTTTCTATTAAATGAAATACTCTGATTTTCACTTGTAGAAGCATAGTACATTATAATGTATTCAAATTCAATACTATTTTATATGAAAACATGAAACTAATCACAGAATACCTGAAATTTTTAGGTTTATCATATTATAATTAAAAATACTTATGAAACTTTTCTCATAGATTAGTGGTTCTCAACCTTCCTGATGTTGTGACCCTTTAATACATTTCCTTATATTGTGGTGACTCCAACCACAAAATTATTTTTGTTGCTAATTCATAATTAATTTTGCTACTGTTATGAGATGTAATGTAAATATCTGTGTTTTCTGATGGTCTTAGGCAACCCCTGTAAAAGGGTCATCCAACCTCCAAAAGGGTCTCAACCCACAGGTTGAGAACCACTGTATCAGATGTCTCTCAAATTAACATATATAGTCATAGTTTCTTCTTTTTCCCCAATTACCTGATGTTTCACTTTCTGCCCAGAGAGCTGCTGACCCAGACAAAGTTCTTTGCAGTTGCCCTCGGCTCCCTTGTTTAGACTGAAGATGGTCAATGAGAAATGGGATTGGCTGGTCAGGTGTCTCAGTTATTAGCTTGGTCATTAATTCCTAAAGATAGAACAAGACACACATTTACATCTAATAAGAAGAAAGACTACCTGAGCATTTATCATTGTTTGGCACTACACCAACTCTTCACACATAGCAACTAATTAAAACTCTCTCAGAATTTTTCCAAGAATGTACAAGTTAGTAACTGTCCTCACCCTGAGGACAATAAAGTACAGATAAACAAGCCAACTGTGTTACACAACCAAAACACAGCCTAAACCATACTAGAAATTTTATCTAAATTCTTTTTGTTCAAGTATGGTTTCTAAATTTTAAATCTGGGATTAGTGTTTCAAGGGATCTCATTAGGAACCAAGCTTTAGCTAAAATAGACAATGTACCTTTCTTGATGTGTTAATATAATTTCCCTTTGAAATCCTCAAAGAACATTGGGAATTAAAGAACTGGATGAGCAGGCACAAAGTCACATAAGCCTTACATAATCTCCAAACAATATAGAATTGATTTTTACAAAAATTCTCTCCCCTGTCTCACTCTCCCCCCCTCCCCCGTCACCTTCCCCTCTCTTCCAATGATGATCTCTACCCACAGAACAGACTCTTTAATTTTTAGTCACACTAACCTTAAATTGGGCTAAAATCTGCACAAGGATCATGTCTTTGTGTTCTATCTATTCAGTCAGGAAGAGAAAAGGGCAATCTCCAATTTGTGGTCACTTATGGCATCCAGACATCAACAACTGCCACACATGAGGACGAGGATGGTGTTTTGTGCCCTGTAATTGGGTTTGTGAACTGGCATGCCTCCTTACATTCCTGCCAGTCACATCTCATCGTGCCTGTTCTATCTTAGTATGCCAGTTGTCATTTGAACTTCTTTTCTGTAAGTGGCAATTGTTCTACTGAGTAGGTCAGGAAAGTTAGATGTGAGGGTTACTTAGGAAAGAAGGGACCAGCAGCTTCCCATTCCAGTTCTGGTTTTGGTTTTGGTTTTTTGATGTTTTGTTTTGTTTGTTTGTTTGTTTGTTTGTTTTTGTGGCTGAGGATGCTGGCCTGTTTCTTCTTCTTTAATGCTCTTCCTCAGATGGTTAGCAGACTTACTGGTCATCAGTTTGCCTTTAGTGACATAGTCTGAGAGGCTTCCCCTAAGCCTTTATAAGTCTGTATTATTTTGTATTCAGAACCCTGTCAGGGCTTCCCGCCCAAGGCAGACAACAGTCATGGTGAAATGAAGGGATGGGTTTTAACCAAAGTCACTCTGGGAAGACAGAGAGTAAGAATTTCATCCCATCCTTAGGGCTACTGACCCAAGGTTTGAGGCTAAATGGAGAAGGAATTGGGATGGGGCAAGGCATGTGTGTAGTATCTAAGCACAGACAATATAGATTTTGTAGATGGCAAGATCCCTTGTTGCTGCTCGAGACACAATTCAAATAATTCAGAGCATCTCTAAACTAAAGCCAGAAAACAAAAGATCAAGACAGTTTGTGTCATGAATACACTGTGATGCAAAGTATTTGCCTAGGAAATACTTTCTATATGCAGAAAGTTGGGGAGAAAGGAGTGGGCATCGCTACCACTGAAAAGGCTTTATTAGTATAACTGAATAGGTCATCCCTCTCCTAGTATTCACAAAGCAGTGCAGTGGTCAATTACACATCAATGTAATATAACACAGCTCAAAACATTTCAATTTCTTATCCAGACAAGATTGCAGTATTCTCTTTGAACTCCTTTTCATTTCAAAGATCACTAGACAATGGAGAGAAGAGGGAATGAAAGGACCAGCAAAGTTGATCTTGTCACAGAAATCCTGGGCACTAACATAAAGCAAAATTAGATCAGATAAAATGGCCCAGGGCCACAGTAACTCTGTTGTGACCCTGAGAGATACCATGTGATTTTGTTTTTACAATTTTATCTTTCAAATCAGATGGAAAATTTTTATATTTTTGTTCTTTGAAAAGAAACTGAAGTATTTCTTATTCTCTATAGAAAAATGGATTATACAGATGAACTCAAATAGCCTCTATTTTAAAAATAGGATGAATCTAGTCATTCTGGGGATATATTTTAATCCACTAATAAGTATATAAGGTTAAAGGCACAAAAGAATTTCAGACATAAGCAATTAAAACAGCTAATGCTTTCAGTTGCAGAACATTTGTTTAATGATGCAGAGATGTGTTATATTTGTTTAATTATGTAAAAACATGTTGCTGTTTTACCTTGCCTCCCTAAGATACCTGATTGGTCTAATAAAAAGCTGAATGGCCAATAGTGAGGGAGGAGATATAGACAAAACTTCCAGGAAGGGAAAATAAGGAGGAGGAATTTAGGCTCAGAGGAGAAAGAAAAAGAGACACCAGGGACATGCCAGGGGCCAGCCAGCCAGCCAGATACAGAGGAAGCAGGAAAGCAGGACATACAGAATGAAATAAAGGTTAAAAAAATCTGGAGACAAAGCATGGATGAATTTTAAAAAAGGTTAAATTAAATTAAAAGAGCTAGTGGGACAAGCCTAAGCTAAGGCCAAACATTCATAATTAACAAGTCTCTATGTCTTTATTTGGGAGCTGGTTGACAGCCCCAAGGAAATGCCAACTACAGGTTTGGTACAGTATGTTGCTGGGTCACAAGTCTAAACTCAGATGATTCTGATCACAAGAAAAGTGTTGTCTGGCCTCTCAATGTATCCAGACATTTTGTACTAGAATGAGCTTGAGAACTGGAATTTGCAGAAATTCATTTTCTAGATAGGAGCATTTAAATCCTTAGATTTTCAAAGGAGCTCCTGGTAATAGGACATCAGCCTCTTTCAACCATCGGGTTGTAGAGACACATAAATATAACTGAGGAGCTAATAGATTTGGGAGTTGAGATACAGCTGTGTGGTAGAAAGTCAAGTTACAAGTGGGAACTGATTGCTGGATGGTTCCCAGGGCTCATTCAGCACAAAGGGAAAGTATTTGAGAACATTATGCCAATCTAATCTCAACTCTAGGGCCGAATACCTTCAGGAAATGATCTACAATCTTTATCATTAATCTAAGATTCCTGGCATGAAAGTCCCTGTGAGATTCTGGTTTGTGTATTTATAAATAAAAAGCAAAACTGAGGAGGCAATACCATCCTGCCCCAAAACCAAATATTTGTGGATATTTTATGCTAAGGACCTGGGGATTGACAACATGCAGATACTAATTTACTTGGAACCATGTTTTCACTCACAGGCTAGGACACATACTTGCACACTTGTCCATAATTGAATTCATAATTACTAATAGCGAGAATTTGCTGTATAAACAGCATTCAACAGAAGACACAGAAAACAGTCACGATTCAGCACCCAGGCTTTGAAACCGCTCTTCTGAATCACTCTTGTATTTACTGGCTGTATAAGTCTGGGTAAGGTGCTTCATCACCTTGCCATGCAATTCTCCATCCACTAAATGTTAATGATAATAATGTCTACATCATACAGTTGCCATGGAGACTAAAAAGATGATGAGCAAAAAGCATTTGCAAAGTGCTTTAAGCTATGTATAGACCGCTGGGGTGGGAACTGCTTCTCAGATCTCGCTCCTTCATTGATCTCCGTTAGGGTTTCCTAATGAGGAATTTGTAGAGGACTTGGAGAGCAGAGAGAAGCAGAAGAAACTGTTCTATAGAAATGATTGTAGGCAGAAATGAGGGCACATGGGAGGCTCACAGCAGCTTCCCAGAGAATCTGGAAAACTCCACTGCAGGTTTGGATGGAAAAGCCTGCAAAAATGCCTGAGAACTGCAGCAGCTGCTGGCACACAATTAATAGCCCCCTGCTTCTTGTGCTGCAGCCTGAAATCTCCAGGGTCAATAACCTTGATCCCCATGGTGGCTTCTCTTGACCTGCAACAGCATTCTCTGATCTTGGAGCTCAACGTTTTATCTCCCATCATGAAAATTCATTATTACTAACTTGATTATAACCAAAATACATAGAATAGCATCTGATTTTCTGATTTAATTCTTAGTGATGCCCCTTAAAAATGCAACATTTTAATGTTTATTGCAATTTTAAAAAATTTATAGGCTATATATGTACAATATATCTTATTTTATTATCATAATCACTATCCTTTTATTAATATGTATTTGCTATATTATAAATGATATATTTCCATTGATTTTATTTTGATAATAATGTTCTCTTTCTCTTAATTAAAATGTAATTATATTATTTTCCTCTTTCTTTTTCCTCCATCCAACCCTTCCTATGTTCTCTCCTTAGATCCCTCTCAAATTCATAATTCATGACCTCTTTTTATTTAATTGTTATTGGTTAAAGTCCACTTAGTGCTACATGTGTGTATATGATTTCAGGGTTGACTACTTGGCATTGGATAACCAATTTAAATGCTTTTTTATTTTCTGGAGAAGACTCTCTCTTCCTCTCTCAAAAGACATTTGCCACCTGCATTTGATTGGTTGCGGTTTTCTGTAATGGTCTCCCTCTGTTGCAAGGAGAAGTTTCTTTGATGATGCATGAGATGTACACTTATCTGTGGGCTTAAGAACAAGTATTTAGAATGCACTTAGAAATTACACTGGTTTAATAAGTAGTGGGATGAGGGTCTCCTCTAATATCCATGACCACTAGTCCAGGCATTTGGCTAGGTTTCCAGTACTAGGCATGATTTTCTTCCTGTCAAATAGGACTTATGGCAAATTAGACAGCTGCTAGTTACAGACAGGATATGAGTGATACTATTGCACTCTCTGGAATATCTTGCCCTGCTGGTTATTGTTGTGGATTATAAGTGTCACAGCTGGGTAGGATTGTTGACTGCTTCTCTCCCTTGGAAGTTTGCATAGCCCCTTCCAGTACTGTGAAAGCTTGTCCTTAGGGATTAATAATGGAGATAGTATCAATCAGGCATGCTTTCTCAATGTAATTATTTTATATTAATAGAATATGGTGTGTTATCTGCCTGACCTGCAGTCCATGCTTGCCTGTTCCACCACTCCATAGTCCATAGTTGCCTTTCTCACCTACAC